CTCTTTCAAGCTTTCATTAATAAATACCATTTTGATCTTTAAACTTATGAAGCTATCTTGAGAAAAATTGCAATGCATCTTGTGGAATCTCTAATCTATTAGCAATCGATTTAGTTTTTTCGATAAGTATTACATTACTTAAGACCATTTGATGCTAGTAGTTTAAAACGAATTTTTTGAGAGCAAGTTCAAGTTCTAAATATGTAACAAGTTTATGACGTTTTGTGTTTGGGTTGATAGTTTCTGAGCTAAGTCATTTTTCTGCTGTTTATAAGATACAATAAATGGTGCTTTCATTAACTCTAACACTCTACTGTTTTTCAATCCAATTAATATATTGAGCATGAGTCTTTTTATTATCACGAGCATAGATACAAAGATCTTATTTTTGAATTTCAATGAGAGTAGTTCTCTTAAGAGATATGCATAGTTGATTTCAATATTATTAAATAATATAATAGCGTATCATTATATTAATAAGGAACAGATAGAAGATATATTGATATCAAAAGTATCTTATTTCTTTTTTCTTAGTCTAGGCATATAATAGGATTTAAATAAATTTTATTTTATATGAAATTTTATTTATTCATCAGCTTGTACTATTATTCGTAAATATGATACAAATTTTTGCTAATTAATACTAATTAAGATAGATCAAACAAAATTTATTCATATATTTGTGATCACAGTCCATCAGAATAGAAATTGTAAAAAAATAAAACTTCTTTCTAATGCATTATTACGTTATACTATTTTTCTTATTCTTGAGATAGACAGTTATCTCTAATTGACTAATTTTATGTAATTGTTACATGAGTATATTTATGGAGGGTATTTTAATATAGTCAGGACTAAGAATTACTTGTACATGTAAAACATGAAGGGTATACACTTAGCTATAAGTTTCTAATTTAGAACTGAGCTATAGTATACATATAGAGAGGGTATGTACTTATAGAGGGTGCACTTATAGAGGTATTACTGTATTTTTATTATTAATTATAAATAAAATATAATTAAAAAAATTTATATATATTATAAATATTATAAATTTATTAATAATTAAATATAATTAACTTATTTTCTATAAAAATTTAATTTACTTTATTAATAATGTTATTATATTTTTTAATTATTTTTATATTTTAATCATTTTAATCATTAGGTTATAGTTAAAGAATTTTAATTTATTTGATAATAATCTGCAAATTATCTTTTGATTTTCTTCTCAAAACATTTCATCAACTATTAGTTCAATAGATTATATTTATATTTATTGAAATTACTTAATAGAATAATTCTAATAGTAATATTTTATTAAAATTTAATTATTATATTGAAAATTATTTCATTTAACTATATTAATTTTACAATATAGATAAAAATAAAAACTAATATTCAAAAAAATGAATAATGAAATAAAAAGTTAATATATAGAATTATTAATAAAGTAATATCAATAATGATTTTTTTACTATTAGAAATATTATTAGTTTGATTATAAGTTTTTTCTAATATTTAAGCAATTAATTTAACAACTTTAATTAAAAATATTAAAGTATTTTATTTTTTTCTTTAAATTGTAAATTTATAATAATAACTAAAATTTTAAAATTCTTTATAATTTATTTTTTTATTTTTTTTTATTTTTTTAATAAAAAACAAAGCTAAAAGAACAAAGAATAATAATATAATATATTAATAAATTATATGTCTTTACTTTTGCTTTTACTTTTAAAATATTAATAACTTCATTTATAAAATATAGTTTCTTTTACTATACTACTAATATTAGTTAATTCTAATTTAAAAACTTTTATCATTATCTTTAAGTTTATATTTATAATAAATCATTTTTATTTAATAAATTTATATTTTTTAAAATTTAAAAGATTTTATTTTAATAATAAGTAAAATAATTGTTTTTAATTTTTTTAATATATTGAAGCTATTTTTTATACTAAATTTTTTTTATACTAAAATATTAATATTTTTATAACAAGTTGCATAACTTCTTTGATAATGAGCATAAAATAAATTTGCGTAACATTTAGCCTGATTAAATTGTTGGCTGAGATGTTGGTTTAACTTTTTGGGATGTATGATCTGAATCCTGAAATTTGTTATGCGGACATACTTACCAAAAACCTTGTAATATTTGTGTAACATGTATTAAGTGCATATTTAAGTGCGACATACTTGATATAAAAGCTTTTTTTCCGATCGCGTTTTCTTCAGAAAAAATTTTTGGTAGACCTTACTTTGTTAATCATCGTCTACTTTCATTTTTCATTAGCAGTTACTTTTCTACGATATATACTTACGCGTTAGATAGCATAATTACATTCTATTATTAAAGAAAAAAAAATACTTTTCTTTGTTAATTTATTTTTTGAAGAACGAATACATGGCAATACATCGAAACCTTGCGGCAAAAAATCGAATGCAAAAGCAAAAATTAAATGCAGCTATACGAAAGCAATCAGCTTTATTGGAAACAAAATTAAAAAATGGGAAAATTACAGACACGTATGCTAATAAGAAGAGAGATATCAGTGAACTTTCGAGGAAATTGTTACATTCCGCAATAGGTAATGTAAAGTCGTATTCATATATCATAAATTAAGCTTTTATTAAGTTTTCATATTCAAAATTTATAGGATTTATCGTGTTATTGATATATTCAGACAGTGAAACAATCGCGGTCAGAAATAATTTACTTTATATGTTTGCATTCGTATTTTCAGCAGAAATCTTGAGATTTTTTAGTAAAAGTTTTAACGAAATGTATATAAGAGTCTTGGGATTTATGATGAGAGAGAGAGAAAAGACCGAGAAATATAATGGAGTGATATCCTATTTGATAGGATGTATTGGTGTACTTACATTATTTCCTAAGGTAAGCTATAATCCAGGTAAATTCTTTTTATTATATAACATACAATTTTTTTCTAATCTTTCTATTTTGATGATTTTAGGATATAGCATCAATATCGATATTGATTTTATCATGGTGTGATACGGCAGCATCATTCGTAGGCAGAAGGTGGGGAAATTATACATATAAGTTTCGAAATGGTAAGTCATTAGCAGGCACATTAGGTGCGATGACAGTCGGATCAATTGCCGCTTTTATATTTTGGGGTCTATTAAAACATGATCCCGAAAGTTCTAGTTGGGTAGAAGAGAAAAGTTTATTGCCATTACCTATATTAACCATATTAACGGGAACAATTGGTGGTATGAGTGAATTGATTGATTTGTGGGGGTTAGATGATAATTTGGTTATTCCTTTATTATCTGGTACGATTTTGTGGATTCTATTAAGAGGACTTGGTTTGGGAGGTATTTAGACCGATCAATGCATGTAAATTTTAAATATCAGTTTAATTGTACTTGTATTTTATAAAAACGTTATAATATTACGATAAATGTAAACCACGTGAGATAACGTGATGATCCATTATTTGATTATCAGAAAATTATCACAAAAAATTTCCATCAAAAATCATTTTCTTCAATAATAAAATTTCGGTTTTTTACAATGAACTCGACAACTTTATCTGTAGCTCGTAGAAAAGTAATGCTTTGCTCTAATTTGTTAATACAAATAAAAAGAGGGTTTAGGATCAATAGTAGTGGTACTTTCCAACAACTACAATTGGAAAAGGAAGAAGCCGTTTCTCAGACCAAAAGTACATTTATTGATAAGTAAGGTGATGTTTAATTGTTAAGGGTTTTGCCCTAAAGTTTTATCAAAGTTTTTTTTTTTTTTGAACAGAAGTCGAAAAAACGTTAAGAAAGTTTTGGAAACAAGTATCCATCCAATCAAATACAGGTAACTTAAATTTAATTAATTTAATTGATCATATTTTCATTAATAAACATTTGCTCTCCTGTTAATGATTGATAATAGACACACAAACATATGAGATATTACTCGATAAAAGGTCATTGAAAACGCCAGGAGGATCAAAATTAAGTATACCTTATTCAAAAAAAATTTTGGCATATTTAATTGCTGGCGAGTGGGAGTCTCAAAATCATCTACTAAAACAACATTCCTTACCAATGGTAAGTAAATGACCATCTCAAGGAACAAATGCGTTTTTTTTTTTTTTTTTATTTATTATTATTAACTTAAAACTTTTTTTTTTAAAAAATATATATATATATATATAGACGTCATTGATTTGTAGAGCTATAGATGCATTTGATAAAGATATTAATACAAAACAAGAAGTTATCAATAATTTATTACGATGTTTGGATAATGATTTAATTTGTTATCAAGAATCATATCCTGATTCATTAGTTGAATTACAACAAAGACATTGGGTCCCAATATTAAATTGGGTACAAAAAACTTACAATGTCGAAATTAAAACTACTGACGGTATAAGTGGGTTAAAGCAACCTGAGAGTACCAGAAAAAAATTAAAGGATATAATTGAAAACTTTGATTCTTTAAAATTATCAGGTAAGTCATTCATGAAATCATTTCTCTTTTTTTTTTTTTTTAATAACTCGCAATTTTCTATATTACAGGATTTGAGAGGGCTACGATGTTATCAAAGTCATTTTTAATTGGTTTAGCTTTAGTAGAAAGAAAATTAAGTGTTGAGGAAGCTTCAACAGCTTCGTTAATTGAAATAATTTCACAAACTATGAAATGGGGTAAAATTGAAAGTGGTAAGCAATAATATAATGAATCTGAATTTAAACATTATATGATTGTATTAATTTTATTTAAATTATTATTTATTAGCGCATGACGTTGAAAATGAAAGTATTAAAAGACAATTGGGATCAGTTATTTGTGCTATTATGGTTTCCAATAATTAATTTAATTTTCACCTCCACTTTTGAGAAATTATTAAAAAATTTCATGTAAAATAAAAGGAGCAAAATATTTGTTTATTGAAATTATTGAAATAAAGTGATTGAGATTTTACAATTATTTTAAGACTACTTTTTTTTTTACATTACAATAATCCTTATTTCTTAGTTACTCTCCAAATAGAATCGGCAACTTTAGTTACATCCAACATTTCTTTCACATCATGTACTCGAAGAATGTTCACACCGGCCAAGACAGCAGCGGCACAAGCCGCAGCAGTACCCCAGCATCTGTTTTTAGGAATGGGCTGATTAATCACTTCCCCAATAAATCGTTTATTACTCACCCCAATTAAACAGGGAAATCCTTCTAGAAGGCTACGCTTTCCATTAAGTTCGTTTAATCTCTTTATGATTTCAAGATTATGATCCAACTTTTTAGCAAAACCAATACCGGGATCAATAATTATATTCCAACGTTTAATGCCAGCATTGATGGCAGCATTAACCCTTTCGAATAATTCATTAGAAATATCCGATATAAGATCATCACCATATTCGGTCAATCGAGACATGGTTTTAGGAGTACCCCTCATATGTTGAAGAATAATTGGTACATTACATTTAGCAGCAACGGAAAGTACCTTTTTATCTAATTGCCCACCAGATATATCGTTAATTATATTCGCGCCACTTTGTATTGCCTTTTCAGCAACTTCGGAATGAAAAGTATCAATTGATATAGGAATATTAGCAAGACTAGTGTTTGAAGAACAACGAATCGCTTGTATAATGGGTAATACACGAGAAATTTCTTCTTCAATAGGAACGTCCTCAGCATTAGGACGAGTAGAACAACCTCCAATATCCAATATATCAGCACCTTCATCGACTAACTTTTGAGCATGAGAAAGGGCGGAATTAACATTCTTATATAATCCATCATCTGAAAATGAATCGGGAGTCACGTTAATCACACCCATAATAAAAGTTTTTGTGGACCATTTCCAAATTATATTATTAATATTGATTGGTAATATCTTGTGAATAAAATTATTAGGAGAATAAGAAGGACTTTTCAAGTAATGAGAAAGTAATTGGCCACAAGTTCTAAATAATTTTGGATGTTCAAAACTTTTTGCGATATCACATAATGGTTTCAATACAAATTCTCTTTCGCTCATCGATACATGTGGAATGGTAAGATTGGAAGATTTATATTCAATGTCATCATAAAATATTATGTCCAAATCAATTGATCTTGGTCCATATCTTATCGTTGGAGTTCTTCCTATGGTTGACTCGATATTTTTTAATTTAACTAATAATTCTTCTGGATCCAAATTTGTAGCAACCTTACACGCGGCATTAAAAAAATCTGGTTGATCCGTCACGTACATTGGAGATGTTTCATACATGTATGAAGTATCTAATATTTTACATTCTAATTCGAGTAGTTTTAACGCTTCACAAATGTTTCCAATACGATCACCCAAATTCGAACCCAAAGTAATATAAACCACATGATCATATCCCTCAGGAACATCCTTACCAAGAGGAATATTATTCTTGAAGCACGATTGACTTCTTGTAATTTCTATTCCGGCGGAAGCGGCAAACATTAACGCACTTGGTTTTTCCACCCTTATGGTAATCTTATTAACTTTACATTCCATTATTACGATGCGGGCTACAGAAGTAGCAAATGCTTCAATTGTTTTATACTTTGATTCTTCAACGTGCTTTGAAATAGTTCTAACTATTGTCCTATAATTATGTGGCTTAATAACATGGTCTTTATCAGATTCCGCTTTATGTCTGGGATAAATAGTTAAATTAACTATTACACTTTGCTTCTCTTCTCTTTCCCATGGGTTAATTCCAATTATACTATTCAATTTTAAATCTCGTACAAATATTTTATCAGAATATTCATTTTCACCAGTGATTTTCGGTGATTCCGAATAATCATCTTTTGTGCGCGTTATTTCCACTCCTGCACATTTTGCATGTAATAATGCTTTTGGTTTCTCCAATCGAATATTAACCCTTGTTGTATCAAATTCTGTTATACATAATTTTGCTATTGCATCGGCTAATGCTTCAATCGATTTAAAGGAACTTTCCTCTGAAAATTTTGTCACCACTTTAGTGACAGTACCATAGTTGATTGAATACTGTAAATGGTCGGTATTTCCCGCCTGTGATATATTTGCATAGATTGTCAAATTTATTATTATAGGTTGCTTTTTTACTCTCTCCCATGAATCCACTCCTATGATATTATGAACCTCTAAATCTTTTATTATGATTTTATCTTCCATAATATATATATATATAATTTTTTTTTTTTTTTTTTCAAAGAAAAAGCATCCAACTTAGATAATCAAATGATAATCAAACAAATGACGACTTATCATTGGTAACTTATACGTAGATCACTTTAAAATAAACGTCGGGTGTTGATTCATTTTGATTTCTTCACAGATCTAAACGTAACAAATATGGTTTTGGCAGATCTAGGAAGACGTATTAATTCAGCTTTAGCACAGATTAATAAAGAACCTGTAATAGATGCAAAGGTACTTGATGCACTTTTAAAAGAAATATGTGCAGCGTTATTGGGCTCTGATGTTAATGTGCGTTTAGTTAGTACACTTAGAAATAATGTTAAGAATATCGTTAACATACAAGATCTTGCAGCTGGCATAAATAAACGTAAACTTATACAAAAGGTTGTTTTTGATGAATTATGTAAACTTGTTGAACCGGGTGTTGAACCTTACAAACCTAAAAAGGGTGGAGTTAATATTATAATGTTTGTTGGTTTACAAGGTAGTGGTAAAACTACTACTTGTACCAAATTGGCTTATCATTATCAACGTAAAGGTTGGAAAGTGTGTTTAGTCTGTGCTGACACTTTTCGCGCTGGTGCTTTTGATCAATTAAAACAAAATGCTACTAAAGCAAAGATACCATATTATGGAAGGTTGGTATTTGATTATTTTTTTTTTTGAAATTTCTTTTTTGAAAAAAAAAAAAAAAAAAGGTTCACCCTAGATAATTTCCAATCGTTTGCAGTTACACTGAGACGGATCCAGTACAGATAGCGCATGAAGGAGTGGAGAAATTTAAAAAAGAAGGATTTGAAATAATTATAGTTGATACGTCGGGTAGACATAAACAAGAAGTTGAATTATTTGAAGAAATGAAACAAATATCGGCTGTAGTTAATCCAAATAATACAATATTTGTAATGGATGGTACTATTGGTCAGGCTGCCGAATTACAAGCAAAGGCATTTCATGAAGCAGCTGAAATTGGTTCAATCATTATTACAAAGATGGACGGTCATGCAAAAGGTGGTGGCGCGATATCCGCTGTAGCTGCGACGCATAGTCCAATTATATTTATTGGTACTGGTGAACATATACATGACTTGGAAAGGTTTGAATCAAGAAGGTTCATACAAAAAATGTTGGGTATGGGTGATATATCAGGTTTGATGGAAACCGTGCAAGATTTGAAATTGGATCAAAATAAAACTTTAATGAAAAATTTAGAACAAGGTATCTTTACCATAAGAGATATGTATGAACAATTTCAAAACATATCACAATTAGGTCCCTTATCAAAAATGATGCAAATGATGCCAGGTATGTCGGAAATGAATTTTGAAGGTTCTGATGAAATGGGAGCGCAGCGAATAAAAAGATTAATGACTATAATGGATAGTATGAGCGAAGCTGAATTAGATAGTGATGGTAAAATATTCCTTACCCAACCAAAAAAAATTCAACGTATAGCATGTGGTAGTGGTACTAGCGTAAAAGAAGTTGAAGAACTTTTATTACAGCATAAAGCTTTTCAAGGTATGGTTAAAAAATTTGGTGGCAATAAAGGTTTGTTTAAAAATATGGGCGCTGGTCCTGGTATGGACAATTCAAAAATGTCCCCTCAACAAATGCAACAAAAAATGGCTCAAATGCAAAGAATGATGCCTCGCGGCATGCAAGGAATGAATATTAATAATGTAATGAGACAAATGGTAAGTATTTTAACAACGGTTCTTATGGGAATCTGATCAAAAAAAAAATACCACCAACTAACTATCACTATTTTTAATTTATTAGATGGGGGGAGGAGGTGGTGGTGGTGGTGGTGGTGGTGTTGGTATGCCAGACATAAGTCAAATGATGAAACAAATGGGTCTTGGTGGTATGCCCGGTATGGGCGGTAATCGTAGATAAAAAAAAAAGCGTTAAGGCGATGGGATATGTTAATTCCCCCCCAAAAAATTTTAAATTAAATCAATAAAACGGTTTGTATCTTATAAAGAAAATTTTGTTTTGCGAAAATATTTAATGTACTTTACAAAAGAATAATAAAATTTTACAACTACATTTTAAAAGAAAATAATAATGGAATAATATAAATTAGAATATACCAAAAAATAAAATAAAACCTCAACATAAATATTCATAAGCAGCATGATACCAAACGTTAACCCATCTATTGACAGGATCGATAACGATATAACAAAAGTTATTATGATTATTAGAAGGAAATAAATTACTATTTTTTAAATTATTTATTTTATAAACAAAAGATTTAATTATCAAATCACCAGTCTTTCTACTTTTTTGCACACTTAAAAAAAAAAAAATTTAATTCGAGAAATATATATATTAATTTAATAATAGATTTATTTAATACGTACATACCATATTAAATCTTTATAAATTTTTTTTAATATGTTAAAATATTCCGAAACAAAATCCTCAAATTGACACATATCTCCTCCTAAACAAATTGACTTAAATGCCCTAAACATGAATTCATTTCTATCATCCTTACTAAATATATCATAATGTGGCGAATCGACCAATAATAATAATTTTCTTAATTCATCCGTTATCATGATAGGTGATGAATTGTCCTCTTCTAAATACGTTGGGAATGTTTTAACTATTGCTCCACTCTCTCGTCTCACTATTGCTGTTTATTATAAGCAATTATGGTATCAATAATTCTACTTTATTAAGGACAAAAAGAAAATAAATAATTAGTAAATTAACGAACGTACCAGCATCATATAATCTATCAAAAAAATGCAGTGTAGTCAAATTACAAGGTACTTTTTCATATGCAACATCATAAATATCTCCTTGTAATTCTTTCCAATTATTTTGATCAGATTGTATTTTAAATTCTTCCCTTACATTTTCATCTTTAAAAAATTCTAAAAGAAATTTGTGCTCATCATTTTCATAATCAAAATATTCTTCGTATATAAATCTTTTTATATAACTATGTCTTCTCATTCCCCTAACATGGTAAAAAAAGAGTTAATGCTTATATACAATCATTTAAAAAGTCTTCCATTTTATTAAAATGATTTAATCGTACCATTTTTCTAATAAATCTTGCACACGTTTGCTATTGTATTCTAGTTCGTTTGGTGATTTTGTATGATATTCAAAATGAAACTTCATTTTTAAAATACACGGGGAGTCAAATACCCACGATCATAGGACATTTTATCAAAATAAAATTTGATTGCATTCTGCTGTGCATGATCGACATTCTGCTGCGATACTTGATTCAGGGACCCGTTCGATTTGTTTAAAAATTTCGATTTATTTCGATTTATATAATTTTAGCCAAAATTAACTCATAATGCTATAATTCAGCCAAAATTAAAAGAATTTATTAAATGTTCAAACTAATGTAATAATATTTTATTTGCGATTGAAATACAAAATATTAAGCATCCGAAGAGAATCTTGACTCAGATTTTCTCTATCTTCATTCAAAATATTATTATAAACAGAAAAATTACGTTCTACAATACAAGAAGAAAGTGGTAAACAAATATAATCTAAAGCAATTTGACTTAAAAAGGGAAGATGAATTTTTTGCCAAAATTCCTCTAGATTTGAATATTTCATCAAAGACAAGTCAAAATTACAATATATCACCCATTTCTGAAGAAGATCATATGAAGGATTTGTAAATTCAATTATTGAGGTATTATAAGAAAAAATATCTTGATTTGAGTTGCTTTAAAAAGTTCATGACATGGATGATTCAAAACATGCTTTTTAAATGTAGCATTATAAGCAGAAAGAGAGAGAGATTGAAATATTATTTGAAATGATTCAGATAAAAATTAAGGTTTTGAATAAAAGTAGTTAAAGGTTTGCCAAAATTTTCTAATAATATTCCATTATTAATATAACTATTTAAATTTTCTAAACATTCTTCAATAAATAAAAGAAGGTTTTCTTACTAAAAAAAATCCAAGTTATCCATAAATTTTTATGCATAAATTTTGATAAAAAAAGATAAATTTGAACACAACTATTATTAAATAGATCATTGAAAACTTTAATCAAATCTTTAATTGTATCATTAGAATCATACTTTTGTTCTTCCAAGTAAAAATTTTAAAGGTATTGATAATTTTTATCTATATAACAAACTATTTGAAATCAAGAATTCCAATAAGTAATAACAAAAAGAGAAACATTAATTGGATTTAGTATATTATTTCATAATAAAAAATAATAATATTGTGATTGCTAAGCTTTAGCCAAAATAAAGGTTTTTTTAACATTTATTAATAATGTTTTTACTAAATTAAATTGCTTAATTGATATTCATGCTTGGTTAAAAATAAATAAAAAATTTTTAATATAAATAATAATGTATTTAAATTATTTTAATTTAATTAAATAATTTTTTACCTAATAATATTAAGAATATATATTAAACAAGATAAGTATTTAAGTTAAAGCATAACTGGTTTAAAAACTTTTATGATAATTTTTTTTATATATGATGCTGAATCTGATGTGATAAAATGTATAATATTAAATGATATAGATCATTTAATCAAAATAGTAAGAACAAGCCATCCAATAGTAAGATTATTAATAGAATTCAAATAATCAATAACTACAAGTTTAATATTACTATGATAGCTAAATAAGATACTAATAATATTACAAGTTTTACTATTAGTTATTTTATCTATAATTATTGATACTGAATTATTTTGAAAAACTTCTTTTAAATCATCAATATATTATTGGTAAATTCTTAATAAATAATTTCACCTTAATGTATCAGCTTGTAGAATTGTATTACCTTTACAGCAATATTTTTTAAGAAAAGATTAGAGTGTATTTACCTTTTCTAAAGGAATATTTGCTTTGATAAATACCTTTATAAGGTCTTAAATTACTATTTTTTAGATTCTATAACAGACAAAATACCTTTTAAAGTTTAAAAATATGTATTTTTTATAAAAGATTCATAGATTTTTTTTTATTTTTTATATAAATTTTACTTTTTATATGTGAAAAGTATTTTTATATTTCCAACTAATAGAATGCCTACAAAATTTATATATAAGAGAGTTATTAAAAATATTAAAAATATTTGAAAATTTTTTTGACAAATTCATTTTAGTTTAAGCGACATATTTATAATGAAAAAAATTAAAAAAAAATAGATGAGTTTTTTTTATAATCAATAGCCAATTATATTTTGTTTTAATTTAGTTTATTTAGCTAATAATATTTTTTTCATATGAAATATCATAAAAAAAATTTATTTTAAAAAATTTTGATTTAAGCAAAATCTTTTAATTTATTTTAAAAAATTATTTTCAAAAATTTTATGAATTTCTGATTTGATTTGTTTATTTATTTATTTCTTTGATAATATTTATGTTATACTTTTTTAATATAGTTTTGTTTAAGTTTCAACTATTATTAAGAAGTTTCATCTTTCATCTTTAATTTATTCAATTAAATAGTTATGCAATAAAATCAACATCAATAAAAATTATTTTAATAAAAAGCTAGCAGCTGTTACAGAAGATAATAAAGATAATGAAAATAATGAATAATAAAATATATTATATATAAACAAATATAATTTATCAAATTATTTTTTTTAATAAAATATTAATTGCTTATTCTAAATTATATGCTAACTATTAAAATTAATATTTTATTTGAATAATCTTTTAAAATTCTTGAAATATTATTTCAAGTTAATTCTTTATTAATTTTATGTAAATCCTTTTACTATTAAAAAATTTGTTTAATTTGACAAGTAAGATTATAAAAAAAATAGTATTTATTAAAGAAATTTAAAAATAGTTTTATTTAATAAATAAGATAAAGAAAATGAAGAAGATTCTTTACTAATAATAAATCTTATAATAAAATAATAGAAAGAAGTTTTTAATATAAATAATAAATAATTAAAATTTATTAAAAAGCTTAAAAAAGGCTTTAAAATAGCAGTTTATTTTTATATAATAAACTAATTTAATAGTTTTATTAACTATAATTAAATAATTTTTTCATATTTTTTTACATATAGATATTTTGTGATAAAAAGAAAAAAATTATCAAAAAATTTTTTTAAGTTATATTAAATTACTAAAAAAAATAATATTTAGTTAAAAAAAACTTTTGGTAGTTATTTTTCTTTCTACTATAAAATGCTCATATAATTTGATTTTTATATAATAATTTAATAATTATTTTTTTATATAATTATATAATAATACTATATTGATTAAATAATACCATATATATTTTTATTGAATTATATTGATAATATATTAATAATTTACATTATTTTTTATAATTTTTGATTAAATTATAATGATTTTTTATTAATTTTTACTAAATTATATTTATCATTAAGATAATAATTTATTATTATCTTTAATTCACTCTAATTGTCTAATTTATTTTATTTATTAAGTTTTACTTAAATTATATTTGGATTAATTTAATTTTTATAAACAAATATAATACATAAATTATATAAAATAATTCAAATTTAAATTAGATTTAATAATTAAGAAGATTCAATAACTAATATATTAAACATTTTTAATATTAAGTTACTAAATATTTAAATTAATCTAATATAAAATTAAAAAAAAAAAATGCTTAAATTAAATCATTCTAATTACTCATTTTCTTATTTTTACTAATTCTAAATAAGAATGATAAATTCTTTATGAAAATAATTTTTGATATATTGAATATAAATATATTTGTAATCTTATTTGAGATAAGTTTATAATATATTAAAAAATTTTTTAATATTATTTAAATCAGATTCACAAAGCTTAACTATAATATTAAAGCAGTTAAAAATATATTAGTACACTTTTATTTCATTATTTCATAAATATGTTTAGTCAATAATAATCTATAAAACTTCTTCTTAGCAACTTTATCAGTAAATAGTTTTTTTATTAATTTCACATTTTGTAAATAATTTTAGTATAATTTTTTATAGATAGGTTTAATAATATTATTTTTAAATTAAGATATAATATAATCAATTATAAATTAAATAAAATTAAAAAGTTTCTTTCATATTATTTATATTTTTATTTTAATTGCAAAAATTTTTCTTAAATTTAATTTTGATAAACTATAGTAAAAAGGTATATTATGACTATTCTTAATATATTAAATGATTTAAATTTCTTTAATTAGTCAAATATAATATATTATTCTTACAATATACTATGATATCAAAATAGATTATATAAGAATTCTTATATACTATCTAGACAAAGTAGTAGATCTTATATTTTTATTAATTATTTAAAAATATACATCATAATTAGAATTAAAATTTAAACTATTATTATATAAAACTAATATTTAGTTAGTCAACTATTATTCTTAATACATACCTCTATCCAATGTAATATACTTTCAATTAAATTTGTTAAATGTACATTAGAATTTTATTTTATTTTTTATACAAAGTACACTTCAATTTTTTCATATTTTTTTGCAAGTTTTAGATGTCTTTTGATATGTTTCTCTAGCTCTGATTATAAATATTCAATAGAGTTCAAATCAGTTGACTAACTTAACTAATTTTCTAAAATTTTTATTTTTTTGTTTCAATTCATTTTTTAATATTTTTAGCAGCATAGACTAAAGTATTGTTATCTTAGAATAAATAATTTTTTTTATTAAAATTATTATTAATTAATAGGAGTAAATATGACTTAAGTATTTGAATATAATCATAATGATTCATTTTTTTATTAACTTTTACTAGTAATCTCAATCCTTTTCCTAAAAAATAACTTTATATTATCACACCTCTATCACTATGCTTTATTAAAAGAATCATATTTTTAATATTAAATCTTATCTTAGGAATTCTCTAAACATGAGCTAAACTATTATTGTAAAGCAGCTTTCATCACTTTAAATAACTGACTTTAATTTCTTAACAGACCAGTTTTTTTTTAATTAAACGATTTTCTTTATTTATTGTTAAAAAGAGGTTTGCATGTTAAAATACAAAAAAAAATATTAAGCATATACAAATTTTTTTTTATAATTCTAGTAAAAACTTACTTTTCAGTTTTCTTTTAAAATTCATTCTTTATTTGTTCAACTGATTGAGAATTATTGACTTTAATAATTTT